TAGTGTCAGAGTCTGAAACTGAGATGAACCAACACGTACTATTGCATGAATGATTATAGAATTGGAAAGAGTAGATGGACGATCAACCAAGGTCTTTAATTACTAATCATATATGCTCCATTTTGATTATGTTATTAGGGTTGAAGCCAAGGACACCAGTTACCAAATTCACATTACATGATGGGACGTGTTGCAGAGCATATGCAACATTTGATGAGATTTGTTGATTGGCAACTGCTCCAACTACATAAAAAAGCAGTAGCGAACCCCCTTTATTCGTTCGTTCGTCCGTTCATTCATTCGTTTATTCACCGCGACCAATCTGATGTCTGTTTTTTTGCAGGACACACTCAATCATGGGGCCGCGGACAACCAGGTTTATTGACCGAATGTTACAAGGGTGAAAAACCGAATGAGTACTACGGTCCATTCAACCCGGCCCGAAACAGCACATACGATTTCATGTGGAAGCTGCTTCATGAGTTGGCTGATGTGTTCCCCGACAAATATCTTCATTTGGGTGGTGATGAAGTTGATTTCCGTTGTTGGTAAGCATTAGATCACGGATTTCGTGCTATGTGCTTAGCTGATCTCAGATAAAGTTAGAAGCATATATATCTGTATATGTATTCGTCATAATAACTTCATTTGCAACGCCGAGTAAATCTGTTTGGACAGTTCTTTCAGTACCAGTCCATTGAAGAATCGATACAATAATTGGGTGATTTGTAGGTGGGTTAGATACTACTAGCCGCAACAAATGCAACTTGAGCGTATTTAGTGAATATTAGTATATGAATGACTAAATCGGATACGCATACCTGATGAGCGTAAAGAACCGCGAAACCGGTAGTGTGCTTTCAGGGAAATGTATTCCAGTTATTCATATACTACTTCTGGTAAAATATATATATTCCATTATATCCCGTATTGACTCTCTGAGATTATTGCAATCGAAGAAACATTGCGTCAAAAACAGCAATATATTTCATTTCGGTTTTTATTGATTTGCAACAAAAAATGGAAGTCTGATATTCTTCTCGAAACGGACTTGAGAACCGTGTTGTACGATTTTCAATTGAATCTCTTCAATGTAATCAGACGTCCATTGTCTTGCTTGCAAATAAACATTGCGTAACTGGTCCCATTTGCAGGTCAACCAATCCGGAAGTGTTGAAATTCATGAACAATATGGGCATGGGAAGGGACTTCTCGGCTTTGCAGAGTTACTACACTAAACAAGTGGTTGGCATCACACGAAAGGTAACCACCAAACTCGGCATGGTTCCTGTAGTGTGGCAGGAAGTGTTTGACCATTGATATCGAGTAAGCCGTTTTGATGTACCATTTTGTCATCCATATTCTTCGTGGCAAATGT